TGAGAACTGTAAATATATAAAATAACAACAGTCACAGCTGTAACGTTCTCAATAATTTTCGAAGTAAATTGTTCAAATTAATCGTTTCAATCAATATCTCGTTGCCTTTATAACCTGCTATACACCATACATAAATACAAACTTAATACTTAAAAATGTGTCGCGGAGAACCTAACGGGTAACCGGGGCTCCGGCTCGACGTGCAGGAGAAGGAACGGGGTGGTTTTTAGTCAGTAAGAGTCTGACACTCCCTCCCGCCTCACCCAGGCGGGAGCAGTCATTCGATGATTTTCCAAAAAAAAATACTTAAAAATGTGTACTAAAGATCATCTACCACCTCCACAACCAATCTCATCAAACACAGGAGCGATACGTCCACGTAGAACACACATTGACCAATTATTCCAAAACCTACTCAGCTACAACTGTACACAGAACAAAGCGTGCATTACTGCGCGCCGTCACGCGCATGTGCGAGCTGGATGCGTTAGCGCACATTTCCTAGAAGGCTGCGCACGCGGCGACAACCGGCCAGTTCCTCAAATTGCGTTATGTATGGCCGATGGACATTATGACAGTCTTACGTCGTACTGACTATTGGCCATTATGACATTTGATGACATCCAACTGCTTAATGGTGTAATGCTACTTAAGAAGTTGAGATCACAATGCTTGACTTCCCGTCTCGTCAATGGCTTTTAAATTCTAATGAAAATTGTTTGTTTGTTGTGAAAATTTATCGAACGGGGAACCGGGGCCCCGGCTCGAAGTGCAGGAATAGGAACGGGTGGTTTTTAGTCTGTAATAGTCTGACACTCCCTCCCGCCTCACACAAGCGGGAGAAGTCATTCAATGATTTTCCCCCTTAAAAAAAGTATAATTGTGATTGACTCCATCTTGATAAAGGCAATGATGAAATGAAACATTAAGGTTGATAACTTAACATCGTGTCTTTTATCCCCGAAGGGGTAGGCAGAGGTGCACATTACAACACTTAATGCCACTGTACCATGAAACACCCACTTTTCATTATTTATGTATGTAATAGGGGGTGAGTCTATTGCCATATATCGGGCACAATTCCAGACTCCGTGCTACTACTGAGACTTTTTTTTAAAAACCCAGTAAGACATTGCCCGACCTGGGAATCGAACCCGAGACCCCTTGCCCGGCAGTCGCACTTGCGACTTGCGACTCGGCCAACGAGGCAGTACGGTTTTTGATATCACTTGAAAAATGTTTCAATAACAAAAAAAATCGTATTTTCCTAAGTCCTAAGTTCATTGTTTACATAAAGTCAATAGTCGTAGATCAAAGTAATAATATTTATTAACTTCCCTTGACCAGACGTTTCAGTTTCACCTCATCATCTTCGAGAACTCATTATCTAACAAATAGTCGTTAAACCTCTTAACAAAAGCTATACTATTAAAAGCGTTTTGTAGTAACACACTCGTGTTTTATTGGTGGGAATAAAACAAAATGGATGGCAAGTTTTCATTACCGTGGAGAATAAATACGCTGTTTTACCTTTTTTTTTTGTTGACGGGGGGAAACCTTCAAAAGGCGCCTAGCTTTTTGGGGAAAAAGACTAGGGAGTGTGGGATTGGGATTTTATCTCACAAAGGGCCGATAACCGCGTTACGTCGCCGCAATGCTAAATTCGGCAGTTTGCGTGGCGGCGTTGCGGCGTCGTGAAAAAGAGCGTTGTATTGTCGTTCAGTGCCCTGAGGACACGGTGGAACACACGGTGGGAGAATGCCCTGCGTGGGCTGAGCACCGCCGTGTCCTCAGGGAAGTGATCGGCGATGGCGACCTCTCGCGTCCGGGCCTAGTGCAGGCCATGATGCGGAGCGAGGGGGATTGGGATGCCGTCTCCTCCTTTTGCGAAGCAGTCATGCTAGCTAAGGAGGAGGCGGGACGCGTGAGGCAGCGAAGCGCTGCCTCCTCGCAACCCAGCCATCGCGAAGGACACACCGGACGTCGGGGATCGCGGGACGATCTCCGGCCACCGTAAGCGCGGGCCTGCGGACGGCGAGCATGGGTGGCTCCCCGTCCGACCAGAAACAGACCCGAGCGTACGGCGCGTCGCGTTCCGCGCGCGCCTCAAAGAGCCATCAGACCACCACAGATGGGGCCCAATAGGGCCGATGCCGATTCGGAGTCGCGGAGAACCTAACGGGTAACCGGGGCTCCGGCTCGACGTGCAGGAGAAGGAACGGGGTGGTTTTTAGTCAGTAAGAGTCTGACACTCCCTCCCGCCTCACCCAGGCGGGAGCAGACATTTGATGATTTTCCCCTTTTAAAAAAAAAGAATCGGAATAAGAGTAAAATAAATGTTGCTTACTGAAAATTCTAATCGGTTAGAACTGAGTGGTAAATATTGTAGATTGTCATTTAAGAAAGTGAAGTTTAGAACTGAAAGAATGGCATAGAAATGCTTCGGTCCTTTTATGTTTTCGAAACAAACCTCAGTTCTCATCTAGATGTTAATCAACTTTAGCCCTTAAGATCACTTCGACATCTTTAGTTCCTATAGCCGCCATATTCTTTTGTTTTTATGGGCAAACGTGTCCATGAATTTAGATGGGTATGCCCGACAAAGCGTTTTTTGAATTTGTAATTAGAACCTTTTTTAATTTTTCTTTTTTTTTCAACAACTGAAGTTATGAGTATTGGTTTGAGATTATTGTTTTTTTTTTTTAGTTTTTTAATGTAGTTTGTGCGATGATAATGATACAGAAGCCATACTTTGTGTATTTGCCTTTACCTTTAATGAAAAAAAACTATATTTCTTTTTGCATCCTATTCTTATAATATTATGGAGTTTTTTGCTTGTTCTTCTCCATAGCAATCTACACCTTGGAATGAGCAAATAGCTTCACTTTAAATTTTTTTGTTGACGTTCATTCAAAAGTGCATTTCTGGTCTAATTGAAATAAATGATTTTGACTTCGAATAGATGCGAAATGTGCATATTCAATGTTAAAATTATATCTCTTTTAATGGTATTTGCTATCTTATCCATGGTCAAAGCCAAAGTCTATGGTAATTTAATACGAAATTCAATTATAATCCTGAACGCTTCTTACTATTCTTTCTTTCCTCAAAGTTCTCAATTACAATTAATTTTAAAACGGTCACACTTATAGAGCGTTTTGTTAACAACTAAGCAACGATTTAATGTTTTCACATGAATTTAACTGTACTGCAGTCGTAATGGCTGCCTTGGGTCTCATGATAACTTGAACCGGTGAGTCGACGACATGTGTTGAGTTTATTGGACCACTTACATGTATATTATACCAGTGGAAGTTGAAAAGAAATGGTTGGAACTTGTTAGCATTTTCTACTGCGTTACATGAAGTGATATCATCACCTTTTATGCTTTAAAGTCATTGACTGCCGGCAGAAAATGGTCGAAAATAGCAAACCAACCGACATTGTTAACGTTAAGGAATGATGTATATGCAATTTCAGTAGATTGTTTGTTTGTTTTTTTTTTATAGCATAAGACGGTAAACGAGCAGACGGATGACCTGATGGTAAGCAATCGGCGTCGACCATGGACACTCGAAACACCAAGGCGTTACACTTGTAACGCACTTGCGTTACCAGCATTTTGGAAATTGGGAATTTAAGGATTGTGGTGGATACGGGGATTCGGGAGACTAGGGAGTCTAGGGAGGGGGTAGTTGGGGAGATACCGGAGGCGGTAACCTCACTCACATGACCAAAACCAACGCAAGCGTTATTTGACGTCGGTTTTCTGTGAGGTCGTGGTATCACCCCGGTCGAACCGGCTTATTCATGCCGAAGCATGGCTCTCCCACACTTAGCTTAGTTTAAAGTTTGTCGCGTATTACGATTTTATTCGATGTCGTGGGTGCGTTTACAGATATATAGTTTTATATGCACATCACATACAGACCCAAAACAATAGTTTGTGGATCACATAAAGATTCGTTCCTCGGAGCTCTGATACGTTGCTTTGAGCAGCTAGTTGTATAGCCATTGCGGCAAACGGGCACTAAAGTTTCGCTACTACATAGTTCTATAATCATTACCTTACCTTCTGGAGGATATTCTTCTGTTCAAGTAGGTTTTCTACCAAATTATCAGTTGTACAAAGGATAATGGAAGATTTTATTCAGTAAATTAATCATCACTGTCTTGTAAGACACAAGTGTTGATGACTAACTTCTGTGGTGTATTGACAGCGATTGTCTGTCTTCATACGTTGCATACATACAAGGAATAGTAATGTCACCTGTACGCGTGAGTCAGATTCACGCATAAGAATGTTGTGTACGCAAATATTCCATCGATAAGTCATTGAATGAGTAAAAATAACTATATAAGTCTATTATTTTTATCAAAACATTTTTTGTGTACAACCTGTAAGTTACATACAAACTCGTTTAAAAGAAACACTGGCAACAACAAATAGTTTAAAAAAAGAACAAACGTCACGACTTTGACAGTTGCATTCAAATTCCGATCACGGCGTTCTTTTTTCCAACCTGCCAGTGAAGTTTTTATCCATCTGACAAACCGTACCTAATGCCGTTACATAAAAAAATAACAATCGTAATTCTCAATCGGTTAATCCACATTATTTTCTAGTAAGTGGTTGGCAAAAAGTTTAAACCGTTATCAAAACAATGCGCGGGCCGTCATCGTCAGCGGGGTCTTATTGCCCCCGTTAGAAGTAACCCTTTGTATGCAGATGTGATGACAGGGGTACAATGGTATCGAATTAAACATTCGTTTACAAACGCCTACCGGTGTTATGGAGAATGTTCCACTACTTTTTTCTTTAGAGTAAAAAGTTTGACATGTGTTTTGAACTTTTTTCTTTTAGTATTTTTGTTTGAGATCGAATACAACGCTGTGTGAGATGTTAATTTATTTTGAGATAAGTTTTAAGATCGGGATATGACATAAGGTTATTTGAGAAGAACAATTGAAATAACACAGATGTTTTATCTTTGTTACAGTAACAAGTCGACAATGTGACGGATTGTGACAGTTTCCCGCCGAAAACTAAACATCCACCATTTTGATTTTTTCGAACACAAGTGTTGCCAGGTGAGATAAAATGTTCCAGTAATTAATCAAAAGTAATTATAGTCAATAGAATTTAAGCGTTAAATACCGTATTATTCTAAGTACCTGAGCTTAATTGCACCTTCGCTTTCAATCAGACTTGGGTGCTGGCAGAGGTGTACGCAAAAAATAAGACCAGACATTTTTCCTACGTCTATAAAAGGGGGATAATCGTTTAGTATGCAGCTAATGTTGCCATTTCCTTTAATTACGGACATAATGCGGTCAGGGTGCGTTCTACGTGAGAATTCGCATCTTCTTCTACAAATTACTTGGATTGAACGCCTGTTAGATTTATTGGTTGCTTACAAATGTGTTTTTATAGCTTAATGGCTTGGCTTAGGAAACAGCTGGGTTCTGGGCAGTAAGAGGTATCGGCACTCTTTTTTAACGTTTTGTTGCGTCTAGTGTTATGTGAATGGAAGATTTCTTTATTATTCTTATAAGTTCATTTATTTCATATCACTGGATATTTAGAATTAGAACTAAAATGTTCTTTAAAGTGAAAAGTATCTCCTAAAACTCGTAAATATTCCAATATTAAAAACTGATAGAAGAAACTCTTTCGTTTCACGTTTAAAATAGAAACGTCCGGACCATAACTTAAAACTTACTGCCGACCGGACAAAAATAGAATCGTGTGCAATATAAAATATATATCCCATAGTCTTGGATTTATTGTGACAATGTAGCAAGCAACAATACTCTTCCTCGTCTAGCTTTTGTTCAGAATTTCTCGGGAACTATTGTTAAAAGGAACTTATAATGAATTCTGTGTGGATAGAAATGGCGAATGAATTTAAATTATTATTGTTGCTGCGTTTGGTACACTGTTTTCCGGTAGTTGTTTTGTTTATAGTAGCTTGAGAGGCTAAGGATATAAATTGATTCTGTATTGTTTATGGTTATTATAATCTTGGCGTTTGTTTTATTAATATTTAAAGCAAATAGCGTAATTTATACAAGCGAGTACTTGACACTAATGTCTTATTATAATTGCGCTTTTTTAAACCATTTTACGTTAGAAAGTTCAGGATTTTGAATTTAGTTTCTAACGGATACAATGTTTCGATCGCAGAAAATTATAAACGTGCAAAGAACACTCATCATACTAGACTAGAACTAAAAAAAATCCACAAACCTATAACACCAAACTATGCCTTTGTCCCCTTACTTTTCCCGCATTGTAGTCCAGGATAGATATCTGAAATCGGCTCGTTAGCCGCGACACCTCAATAGGCATGCCTTGAAGATGTGCCCAAGATTGTCACAGACTATACATTTAGATCACTGTATAAGGTGTGCCCTTTCTGGGCAAACAAAGTGCTCGGCCTATCCGGGAATGAATTGTTGCCCGCCGAGGGACGCGTCCTTATTGGTGGATTTATCTCCTAACGAGATGAATTTACCAATATGGTGGCGGAATTTTCTTTGGAATTAGAAATATGTTAGGACGTTGCGATAAAAGGGGTGAAAGGAATGTGATTTGTGGTATTCAAAATGAACAGATACGTGTCTAGATAATGTATTCTCTATGAAGAATATCTATTAAAATAAATGTTGTTATATTCTCTAAACTCATTTAAAGTAGGTAAACGTTAAATTAAACTTCAACCGCCTCTTTTTTTAAGTTCGGTTTATTAATACAGTAAAACCTTCTCCTAATTGTAATAACCTTTTTTTGCATACAGCATCAAAATCAATTCAGCCCATCGTGAGATCAGATCATCGTGCACAAACTTATACCTACATACAGGTAAACCTGAGAACAAACATTGTTTTTTGAAGTCGGGTTAAAAAATAAAAACGATAAACTGATAACACTGTTCTCGTTAAAGGGAAAATGATTTTCCTCCTTTTTTGTAACTATATATAAAGAAAAAACTAAAGGAAAAGATTACTTTAAACCTGCAAACTCGACTAAATTACCGAAAATAATATTATAATCACGCATAAGCCTGTCAGACAACCATACATACAGTCAAAAAAGCAAAAGTACGAAGATGAGTGATTGGTCGGCGCTTGTACTTGTTACCTAAGTGATTTTCGAGCTGAAAACGATGCCATAAATAACAATTTTAAGTTTTTAAAGTTATGTTATAAGAGGATGTTCCGTGGTTAAGCTGCGTTTACGATACTGGAAAGATGGTTGGTCAATATTGTTGTCGATGCGTGAATATTCATAAATGTAATATTTATAATAATTAGTAATACTGTTAATTTAGAAACATAACAACACGCCTTTTTATCCTCGAAGGTAAGCAGAGGTGCACATTACCGCACTTAATGCCACTGTAGCATATAACACCCACTTTTCACTATTTATGTTATAAGTCCCATGTAATAAGGGGTGAGCCTATTACCATATACCGGGCGCAATTCCAGATTCCGTGCTACTGAAATTTTTTTTAAACCCAGTAATAGTTTGCCCGATCTGGAAATAGAACCCGAGACCCCTTGCCCGGCAGCGAGCGACCACTCGGCTAGCGAGGCAGTCTTAATTTAGTATTAGCTTAGTAAATGGCATTGGGTAGAGAATGTAAAAATATTATTCTAAATAATATTATAAGTAATGAGCACTCGAGCTAGTTTTAGGCTATAAAAGAAGCATATTAACTCGTCGAGTACCGGTTTTGTAGACACAATTATAGAACAATAGGTTGCGGTCACCGGTGACCGCTTGGTGTTTGACAGTTTAACTTAAACAATTAGTTGATGTTGTGGAAGAAAAACTAGGTAGGTATTTCAATATGAAACCGTACTGTTATATAGATTAATAAGTTTAGGTTTCAATATTTTTCACAATCTATACTCGGGAGCAAAATACTATAAGACACCAGTGTGAACAACCCCTTACTCTCACTAAGTGCTTGCAAAGCGGTGGACACACGTACGGAATACAAATTATATTCATACCGAGACATAAAATTGATATTCATCATTATAATCACAATCATTACTGTAAACTGAATCAATTTTAATATTTTCGCAAATAAATCTTACAAGGGACCAAAATAATTGATTTATTGCTGTGTCATGTTTTTGGAGGTAGTAAGGCGGCTGATAGCTTTTGAGTTACTTGTCTTATTTTTTTTGTAATCGTAAGTTTGTTGTACCTTCAAAGGACTGCCTTCAAATTCATCGCAACATATATCATATTGTTACTGTATGTATTTACACACAATCTACAGAACTTTGTATACGATGACGCAATAGGGTAGATTCCTAAATTTTATTTTAATGTCCGTCTGGTACAATAATTTAAAACTTTAGAAACGTATTTAATCTTTTCTCACAAAATTAAATACTTTCGACGATATATTAATTTGAAATATCGCGTGACGTCACAGTGTGTCACATTTTGTAGCACGTTATGACGTAACGACCTCCCACTTCTACACTTAGCGCCATTTTATCTAAGTATTGCAACTTAATACGAGAAAATAAAAAAATACGTGTCTAATATTTTTTCATTATCTAACTGACGGACTAATTAGATTTTTAATTTTGATACCCTAGAAACTACTCAATTAGACAAATTCCTACGTGGTATACAACGCACTTATGATGCCTCTGGTTTTGCATACCTGCAACTTACGGTAACTGCTTACTAACTGGTGAACTATAGGCTTTATTGCCTGCCAGCAATAACTTAAAAATGAGATGATGATGAGAACCTCTACCTTAATAAACACGATACGTCGTCAACAATCGCCAGTAAAAGTATTTGCGATACAATCAACATCAGAAACATGTAACAACACTTAAAATATTCCTCTTTTTGTCGTACCCAGGTCTCCTTTCCAAAATGGCTCACTAATGAAGTGGAAACCTGTCAGGACAGGTCCACTGGTGTTGACCTTGAAACCAAAATATAGAATACAATTTAAAAAGCTAAACCTTTTCCTTTTTAATAACTTTGTAAAACATTGATTTACTTTTATTATTTGCTGACGTTTGTAGTTTATTAATATTGAGGTTGAACTCGGTTCTTTTTCGTGAAATGATTTGTATTTGTTCTTTACAATTATGTTAGAGGTGATGGTATGACAATCCCTAAATCATTACCCGTTACACATCTTTTTTTTATAGCATGATGATAAGCAATCGGCGCGCCCATGGATACCCGAAACACCAAGGCTTTACCAGGGTTACCGGCCTCTTGGGAATTTGAGGATTATGGAGGATTCGGGGATTCGGGAGACTATGGAGGGGGTAATTGGGTGGGCCTCCGGTAACCTCACTCACACGACGTTCATCATAAGCGTTGTTTCACGTCGGTTTTCTGTGAAACGTCTAGGAAACGGTTTTTATAAAAGAACATTTGGTAAATTCTGATGGACAATTAGAAATCTAAGACTATTGTGAAGTAGGGTTAGGTAGGTAGGGTAGTGGAGGTCGGGTTTTATATAAAGGTTGAAAAATGTTAATATAATTTACAGAAGTCTACAGCACCAACCAAAAGTGTTGCTTGTAAGAAGTAACAAAATTTAGACTTCCTTTTCAAACGAAAATTTATAGTACCGGGACATACTTACTACTCAGACAGCAAACGAAACCACACCTCTCACTCAATCACTAACAACGAACACATTACACAAAAACCCAATCAATATCAATACATATAATTAAGAAACACAATTCCTGTCCGTTCGTTGCTATTTATCTTTCATCTGGAAGGTCGGTAAATAATCTAAATATCATTGAAATTACGAGCGATGTCGAAATATAAGGCCGTGCGATTGCATCGGTTTGATAATAAAATGGCGCCGGCCAATTAATGGAGATTCGGAAGATACAGGCCGTGTAAAAACTTCCGCACATGATTTTGTTACGGTATTGTAATTTGATTAAGGTTGATTTTTATATTTATTTCAAGTACATTTTATTTATTTTTATCCGACTTCAAAAAAGAAGGTTCCCAGTGTAACCTGTATGTTTTTGATGCGGTTTTCAGAAGTTTTGTTACATTTAGGATAAAG